AAAAAGAGTACAAGCTTTGGAGCCAAGCAACTTTGGTTACGAGTACTGTTGTTCTCCTTTTATACTTGGAAAACTTTGGACTAATAACTTCTGCTGGTTTCCATACCTGTTTCTCCATTTGTTAATTAAAAAACAAAACAAAACAAATCAAGACTACCTAATCTGATACACAGAGAGTATCCATAAAGCTTAATGCCTAGTCAGAGTAGTGGCCAATAATGGTAACTATTCCAAGTTACCTGTGTGCCTAGCACTTGCCCCAGATGCCGGGGCACTCCTGGCCATCTTAGAGATTACAGGGCACTGCCTTAACTCCAGAAACTCTTTCCACTGGGGGTCTGAACTCCGGATCCATCCCTTTCTAGGTGTGTGACCTTATACAAAGCACTTTACCAAAATCTCAATTTCTTTGAGCATGGTAATGTTATCTGCTCTACCTATTTGACATGGCTAGAATAAAAATAAAAGGAGAATGTATGTGAAAGTGCTTTATAAATTAGTACATGCTACACAAACAGAAGGTATTAAACAACAAGTAACATATTCCTTTTCTCTAGGGAAAGCTTTCCAATCATAGTGCCAAGAATGGATTATTGGTGTGCTGCAACACCAACCCACCCCTCAGGCCCCACAGCTTTCAGGGAACCAGGGAGGGCCTGGCTCTATAGTCTGTCACACAATTGTCATCATTTTTTCTGTGTGCTCTGACAAAGAAAAGTTTGGAAACCTTGCTCTAGAACACTATCTCAAGCAAGCAGAAACTGGAGTTGGCCAACTGACTCCCTCCTTTGGATGATTCAGGACTCACCACCAACTCTGGTGCTCTCACCATCCTGCTCCAAAAGCAGGTTGTCACTGCTCCCCAAAGGACCAGAGGATCAAGTCCAAACATCAAGGAGCTGCTACCACAGATATACAAAAGTAAAATAAAATTTAAAACTTTCATCTTAGGTGAGAACATGGCAAAGATACTGCGATATTTTCACAAAAGATTTGAGCAAATGCCAGTTTTGCAACCACCTTCAGAGCCCAAAATAACCTAAAAATTCTTTTAGGTGGCAGATTTTTATGTTTGGAGAAAGTACCTGATGTCGCCAAATACCCAAAGGTATTCAGATTCTGGTGACTAAGGTGAAGTGACACAGTCAGGCAAGAACTTTTCTCTTTTGTGTGTCTCATTCTGAATTGACAATAGTACAAGAAGTGGATTCCAAAGCACATTGTCTACTTTGAATAGTATTCACATAAACAAGCATGTCTGTTAAGAAAACAAAAAAATGTACTTCATAAAGAGACCTTATATTCCTCTTTCAGGAACCACTGCTAACAGGGGTAGCAACACCTGCCTAAGCACATCTGAAGACAAAAGCTTGGAAGAAATGGAGAAAAATGGAAAGAGAGCTGAGGGGAAGAAGGGAAAAAGAATAAAAGAAAGAGAAAAGGAAAATATATGCTTGTGTCTCATAAAGAACAGCTGATAATCTGCAAGAGCTATTCTGTGGCTTCCAAGACTGCCTGAAGCTAGTGGAGACCAAGGATAACAAAAGTACTTCAGAACCTTCAGACCCCACTTTTTCACATATCTCAGAAGTAATTCTGCTACATATCTGACTTTGAGACTGTCATGCTCTCTAAGTCATCAACTTCCATGGTTATGTGGAATAACTCATTTTCCAGGCTGTACAAATATCGTTAGTTTTTCATCCATAACTGCAATACCTTTGGGTTTCCTGTTGAATTTACTCCTTTTTCCATTCTGAATGTATTTCTTCCTCCATCCCAAACTTACCATTCTAAAGTTTATTTATAATTCCAGCTCTTACAATGCCAAGTTTATTACTTTTAACCTTTATTTTCACATTTTCCACATGTCATGTGGCATAATACACACACATTCTGCTCCCACAGAATTGTATCCATCCCCAGGAGAAAATCCTATCAACTACCCTTCCTTAGGCCTCCTCCAAATTCACTTCCTTTTGTCATACTTTTCAGTATGATATTCAGCCAGGTGTTTATCCACTGAAGATTAATAAAGAAAACGTCTGGTAGAAAATCAGGTGAGATATGTCCAATTCATTCCAAAAAAGATGTAACAGAAATATAGTAGAAGTTGTCTATAATAGTAGTCTAGAGACAACCTAGTTGCAAATCCTGGCTTCACCAGTGGAATTCTGAACAGATTACTTTAGCTTCAGTTAGTCATTTAGCTTCACTTTTTTCATCTATAAAAATGAAGATTTAGCCAGGCACAGTGGCTCATGCCTGTAATCCCAGAACTTTGGGAGGCAGAGGTGAGAGGATTGTCAGAGCCCAGGGGTTCAAGATCCTTGTGGGCAACCTGGCAAGACCTGGTCTCTACAAGAAATTTAAAAAAAAAAAATTAGCTGGGCATGGTGGCACATACCTGTTGCTCCAGCTACTTGGAAGGTTGAGTCATAAGGATTGCCTGAGCCCAGCAGGTTGAGGCTGGGGTGGCCATAAGTGTGCCACGTACTCCAGCCTGGGTGACAGAGTGAGACTCTGACTCAAAAAAAAAAAAAAAAAAAAAAAAAAACATTTTAGCCACTGTATAAGGTTGCTGGAAGGATTAGATTAGATAATAATGTAAAGTATTAGCATAATGCCTACCACATAGTGAGCAAATAAATGTAATTGTTGTTATGGTGTTAGATATAATCTATCTCCTGAATTTGTAAACTAATTTAGCATAACCTATTCTTTACTAAGTTATGGTGACTACTTCCCCAAGTAAGGATGCTAGACAGAGGAAAAATCACTTCATATTGTGAACAGAAGAAACTAGTTACTCTAGATAGACTATGATGAGGTATAAGGTATCTTTAAGTTAACATTTTATGAAAAAAGCATCAAATCTTTAGAACTTCAACCCTCAATCAACAAACAATTGACAACCAAATGAGTAAGTTCAAATGTGTAGTCTAAAACTCACATAAAGCTTGGAAGAATACTAACTTATTCACAAGCGAGAAACAATTATTCAAATACCTAATATAGAATCCAGGGAGAGGGGATGTCAAGATAAGCAATCACATACCAAAGGCTTAAGGACCGCATCACTGGAACATCTTGTGCCCATTGTAGCAGAGCCATAGCTTCAAGTGAAAAATAATAAAATGAAAGCAAAGTACAACTAGAATGTAAAATTTTTACTCTAAACTATACCAAGCAAGTTGGTGATATTTAATATGTATTAGACAACAATAAACACATCGGTTTATAAATCCATTGGATCTCTGGAGCACTGGCCACAGACAGCCATCCCTAAAAAGAAACCTCAAAAACCACAAATCAGGAACTAAAGCAGGCAGCCTCATTTCCTTCTCCAAGTCTAGGAAGGAATGCAGAAACACTATAGTTCTGAAGTAGTAAGAGATTTCAAGATCAAGTTAGAATCCCTGCATTTTACTTTCCTTGGTCCCGAAACATGTGATTTACAGTTTGGAAAAATAACAGCTCCACAAAAAAACTGTTTTCACTAACTTCAACAAGACACTGTCTAAGCAATGGTTTTAATCTATCTGGAGGTTGTACATCTTCCTTGAGAATTTGATGAAAAGACTAGGTATTTCCCCAAGGGGAAAAAATGCACTCAGACAAAACTTTGCATATAATTTCAGGAGTGGGGATGAGAAAGACCCCTAAAAGTTGCTGACCCTTAGATCATGGACTCCAAGTCATGATCCAGGATTAAGCAAAGCATAGTGCAAGAAAAACTAATTGGTCTATTTGAATAGGACTCTAAGTAACAGGCAAGGATTTAATTCAGAAAATAAGATTTAAAATATTTTCTATTTTCTCAGATAATGAGCGTTGTTAGCTTTTGTGGTTGGAAGAGGGCACTGGTCACGTTGAGCAATGAAAAAAAACAAAACAGGACAAACTGAAGAAAAGTAAAATTAAAACAGTAGTCAAATATAGTCGCCTGTAGTACCTCTGAGAGAACAGTAATGAAATGTCCATTTCCCGCGGCCTTAACAGAGGGTTGGTTTAATCTAACCATTTCTGGGCACAGTTCTATGCCAATAAAGGTAACTAAATGGCCAACAGGAACACACCCTTGCAGGTGAAAGTTCGAAAGCACGAGTTATGAAAAATCCTGCAAATCCATTTTTTTTAAACCAAATAAGAATCGAGTAAGGTAAATTATATACCTTAAAAGGGAAGGAAGCAGGAGTGGGAGGGAGGCGGGGGACAGAAATCCCGAGTGGCTGAAGGATCCGAAGGAAGTGTAAAGTACAAGTTTTTTGAGATCAAAGGATTCAAGAGGAAGATAAGACCAAAACAGAGCAAGTCATAATAAAACAAAGTAAAAGGGGCAAACGTCTAGTGTCTAAAAACTGAAAGGGGGGAGAACGGCTTTCCTTTTCCTAGACACGTCAACAGTAGTAACTTGGCGAAGAGGAACGGGCCAGAAGACGACAGTACAAGTCCCTTGCCAAAACTCCAGCACTCCTTGGACGTCCTCGGAAGCACAGTCAGGCTAGGGATAGACAGTTCACCGCAAGGCTCCTCCCTGCACCCCTGCCAGATGAACCTCTCGGAGGGACTATCATCATCCCCTTCCCCTCTCCGCGGGAGGGAGGAAGTGGGGGATGCAGGGAGAGGAGGAGAGAAACAAGGGCTGGACACCCAAGCCGGGGTGGCCCACTCCGACACGCTGGCAAGGAAGAGCTGGATTCTGGGTCCTGCACGCCCTTTTCCCACCCGACGTCTGCAAAGCCGAGCGGGTACCGCCCTGGAAGGATCAGTCCCACCCCCCCCCCCCCCCCCCACGGTTTCGGGACACACTCAGAGGGACAGGAGGAACGAAGGGGCGGAAGCCAAAGCGGAATACTTGGGAAGCCATGGCACAGACTCAGGAGAGAAGCGCCCCGGGAAAGTCTGAACGGCGAACCCGGAGCCAGAGAGTCCGCCCCGCCAACCTCCTCAAACCATCTTTCCCCCGCCTCTTCCCCGCGGGCCAGCTCCGCCCTCACCTGTCCGCGGGGAACTCGGTAGTTCTCAAGTAGAGGATTATTCCTGCCCGCTACTCTCGGCAATCGCCTCAACCCTGGCAAGAAGTGAGCGGAAACGCGACCCGGACCTTTTCCTTCTTCCCTTCCCCCCACGCACCTCGGATCCTCGGGGGCGGAGAGCGACAGCAGCTGTCACAGGCTCACACTGACCAACCGCCGAGGACGGTGGGACCCGCGACCTCTCAAGCCGGCCTCCAGAACCAGCACCAAGAGCAGCGAAGCCGGAAGTGAGGAGGCCGGAAGTAGCGTTGTCCTGAGCCCTGGACGGCCTCTCTCTCCCTCAATCTGGCCTGGCCCAGCCACGTCTCTATGGTGCCAGCGCACCTCCTTCGAGGTTCCCCCCGCCCCTTTCCAGAAGCGGGTCCCGCCCCTCCCGCGGCTGCCCTGGCAACCACATCCGGGACTCCGACGGTGTTGTTGCCCGGGTAATTTTCAGGCTGCGGCGGGAGAGTAGAGGGCGTGATCGCGGGTCGCGAGCACCGGCCGGAGCTGGAAGCTTGCGGAAGGGCGCGCCGCCATGGTCTGGAGGGGCGGGAGGTCTCCAGAAGCTCTCCGCATCCCTTCTTTTTCACTCACTCACCCCAGCCTCACGCGTTAGCCCTGAGCCGGAGCTGGGAGCCGGAGCTGGGAGCGTGGAGGTGCACGGAGTCCACCGCCACGCTGCCACCGAAGAGCCCAAGCCGCTTCCTCAGCCGCCCGAGCGCGCGAAGGTTATTCCAGCCGCCGCCAGGTGGGTGGGTGGGGGAGAGAATGCGGGGACCGGGGAGCCGGCGGGACGCGGGCGCCACCCGCGCTCTCCCGGTGCTCGGAGAAGCCCCTCCCCGGAGAACGACGCGGCCCCGCGCCCGGCGTTCCAAGGCTCTTGTTACTTGCTGGGTCTTGACGGTGGATCCCTGATATTTTTCTCTCCGGCTCTTTTCTTTTTCCTGCTGCCCCAGCTCTGCTTTCTGTGCTCGCCCCATTACTTCTTGAATACATCACTGTCCTGTTCCCAGAAACCGCCGAGTCGTTCCTTCCCTCGAGGTCACCTCCGTGGAGGCCCACCCTGCACCTGCACGTGTCCTCTGCGCATCCCCAGCCCCGAATGGAGGGAAACCGGCCCCGTGGGGTTGCTCGGCATGCCCCACGCTCACGCCCACAGTACACACGCTGGGTCCGTCCACACGTGGCTCTTCACATTGCTGGATCGCTTTTCCTTTGACAGCCTCGGGTGTGCCTCCTGTTTACTCCAGTTTCGCTTGTACAAATACGAAGGGTAACCCGTCTTTAGACCCTACTTCTAACCTGCTTTTACAAGATATTTTTGATGGCTAAGTGCCCAAAGACAGAACTCTACAAATTCCCAGGGAGTTTCAGTGCAGTGAAATACCCTTGACCGTTATATCTTCCCCACATCTGTGGGTCGTAAATACCGACACCACCACAAATATGTCAAACGTAAATGACAATGCTAGCAGAAATCTTCAGAATACTACCTCTTACAAAAGCAGTACTGAAATCCCAAAACATAAACGTATGCCCTTTTATCTTAAGGGTCTTTTTATCTTAAGTGGCTCTGTCTTTAGCAAAAGAAAAGAACAAATACATATGTCGACCCACTCAAGCTGCACCTTCAGTTCTATAGCTTATTGAACGGGGTTTTCTGTTCAAAGCACCCTGTTGGTTTGGAGCCCATTAGTCTTTTAGTTATAAGAAAAGAATCTCAATTTGGAATAATTACTTCGCTTATTGTGTAGGAACAGAATACAGAACTTGTAGCTAAGAACAAGTGTTATTACTAGAGTCTCAGAAAGGTGACTTATAAGTAGTACACGGTGATGCACATTGATGCTTGAATGATACGGACAGCAAGCACTTAACTGTTTCAGCTTACTCTTGCCTTGTGGATTCCTTCTAGCTGGCTCTTGTGTTTGGGGATGCCCAGCTTCACTATAGTTAGTCTTTTAGACTCAGAGGTGTTTCATATATCAGAAAGGTGAACATCTGCTTTAGTTTGCCCTTAGCTAAGTAGTTTCCTTGGCAGCTGCTGATGATTTTGATAGAGATTCTGATGTACTGAGAACCACTAGGAACTGATGCTAACTTCTGCTTGGTGAAGATGCTATTAATTGTTTTAAGTACTCTTCAGTGTAATTCTGTTACTGTGCGTGGTTAATCCTCATCCATCACATTACGCTGTGCAAGGCTATACACAAGATTAATCTTTCCATGATTCTGCTACCCCAAGGGAAATTAGAATGCAGGCTGACTCTGAGAAAACACTGGAAGCTACTTCAGCTAGTGATGGAAAATAGTGAAATTCTATACTTTGTTTGGGATAAAGGAAGCAGCAGCCAGTGTTCTTGCCAGCTGAAAGACCTTATTTTAAACCTTGCCCTGCTTAGATGGAGACTTTACTGGCTTGCGTTTGCTCTCCCTCTCTCCCTCTCTCCCCTCCCTCTCCCTGTCTCCCCTCCTTCACCCCCCTCTCTCCCTCTCCCTTC